TTAAGGACTCATTAAGGATCTTCTTGAACATTTCGACTTGTTGCGATTTCTCATCCTCTGTTGCAGGATATGCAAAATAGCTGCTCCACAAACAAACTCAAGAGAATGATGAAACTTGTTAAACTTAGATAAAGTCTTGTGACCAAAACTAGTAGAGAGAGGTTTACCTTGTTATTTGTTGTGAGCTGATGGGGAAGAAAATGGAGAACGGTCGAATGTTCAGCTTCTGTTGAGCCATACGCCGATTCTTCCCATTTAGAAACCGTTTAGCTACCCGAGTCAAGAGATCAGCTCCATTGCATCGCAAACACTTGTCATCGTATGTTAAGTAGTACTCGTTCAAGCATTCAAGCAAGAATGGACTGCAGAGAGAGGTTAATAGTTAAAACATATGACAGAAACATTGGAGGTTACTAAGACGGAATCTGATGTTTCTAATGTAGCAAAACATTGATTTGTGTTTATGAACCTTTTCTTTTCAAAGGACATGACTGCACCGTTCAGTGATTCACCCGCTGCTTGATCCTCCACACCGAGAGTATTTTTCAGTGAGGATAATGAATTCAAAACTATCACATCAGAATCGAGATAAATACCACCATATCTGCATAAATATTGCAATTACAAAGCGATAAGAGAATGCAGAATTGATTATATAAAGTTCAGAGAGTGAATTAAGCTTACTTATACAGGGCCGCAAGCCGGACAAGCTCACTGTAATGAGTAGGATAAAACTTCGTCTTTCTCCAATCGAACCATACAGAAGCAAATACGTGAGTAGGAGTATCCTGCAGCAGCTCATCGAGGTTGGGCATTGCGACAGCAACTTTGTAACTGCAGAAGCAAACAGAATAATGAATCAACCAAACTATTACTAAATGGAGAAATACAGAGGCTGAAGCATTTCGTGTCAACTCACTAACCCGTCTTTGACAAAGCTATTTCGAAAGAAATCAAGCTCGACAGTCTCTGAGAATACTACAACACAAGCATCTCGATGCTGAGACAGTAAGCTCTCAAGCCCTCTTTGATGCCTAACACTAAACATCCAACCAGGTGAATTCCAAACCATAAATACTCTCATAGAACATTTCTCGTTTCTGAAAAACGAATCCATAAAACCCGAAAATGACAAACTCGGTTCCAATCCAGGGTAATATCCCCATCTAGTTCCATCTGCATACATATGTTCTCTAAACTCCTCAAATTCCACATTTTTCTCGACTTTCTTATCGTTGTCTAATGTCTTACGTTCACCACTCTTAACCTCACCATTTGGTTCCTTCTTCTCCGCAACACTCAACGGCTTCTTCGCCATAAAAGGATTCCTCTTAATCTCACTCAACCTCCATTTCTGCACAACCTTATCACCTCTAGTCAATCCTGTAATCCCAACACCATCAGGATCTTGCAACATTGGATTATTCAACGGATTCAACGTCTCGATATTCGATTTAAACATTCGATCTCTTCTCAAGAAATCGCCTTTCTTATCAAACCAATCTCCCCAACCTTCTCTCAATGGTGATACTCTCTTCCCTAATTTCAACAACAAGGCATCTTCCACACTCGTAACCTCAACGATCTTCCTTCGAATCGATTCGTCTAAAGGAATATCATCAGATCCAAACACAGATTTACTCTTTTCTCCTGAATTACCATCACTACCACCAATTCCAGATCCGATACTAAAACCTGTGTAATCGTAATCCCATTCATCAATCGATCGTTTATTGAAAGCTCTTCTAATGACTCCGTTTACATGATCGAAGTAAAAACCAGAAGAAGAAGAAGCTTTGTTCCGATTATTCGGATCTACTTCTTGCTCTTGCTCTGCTTCCTGATTCTCGTCTTCTTCGTTTGAGACTCCGTCGTCTTCGATCGCATCGTCGTGCTCGTCGATTCTATCTTCGGTTGAGGTAGTTGATCCTCTTCCTCCGTTGGTTTCGACGACGTCGGAATCTGAGACTAAGAGAGAATCCGGGAACAGAACTGGGTCTTCGCCGGAGCTTGATCGGAGGTGATTCGGT